GGAGATATTACTTTAGTCAGCTTCGTAGAGAGGTAGAGCCGTCTGCAGCGGGGACAGGGCAGCTGGCTGCTCGGTGGTTGGCTGAGAGTCCCTGAGTCGTGAGGCCGTGAGATGTGTTTGTGCATAGCTTTTAAATTTGACTGGAGCCTGCTGTTCTTCAGATGGTAATGAGGCTTCACTCTTTCACTCACCCAGCTCTACACAGCACCTGTGAGTGCTTAGCACTGGGGCCTCCAGGCCACCTGGTTACCCCTCTCCTCTGGCACAGGGAGGGGCATCTCGTCCAGAGGTACAGGGTAGTAAGGAGACCCCATGGGGTGCAGAGATGTCAACCTCAGGGGGTCAGTGACTGCTGGTGGGGAGTGACTGGGAGGCCTGGGGGTTATCTGGGAGGATCCTTACTGCCAGCTCCCAGCTCAGAGGAGGGGATTGCCAGACGTAAGGAAGGCCCCAGTAATGAGGGGGCCAGTTGAAGTTTGACTCTCAGAATAGAAAAGTACAAGGAATTGGAACTGAGTTGGGTTTGATCCCTTCACTCCTACGGGGATTGCTACTATTAAAAAGAATTCCCAGACAGAAAGTAACACCTGTTGGTGAGGACATCAAAGGAAGCAGCTGCTGTGCAAAACCAGATGGCGATTTCTCAAAAAATTAAAAATAGTTACTGGTCTGGTGGTGGTGGTGCAAGCCTTTAATTCCAGCATTCAGATGGCAGAGGCAAGTGAGTCTCTGTGAGTTTGGGGTCAGCCTCGTCTATATAGCAAGTTCTAGGACAGCTAGAGCTACATCGTGAGATCCTGTCTTAAAAAAACAAAACAAAGAAACAAACTACTATATGTAGTGGTTTGAATGACAATGCCTCCTTGCTCATATAATCCAACACTTGGTCCCAGCTGGGGGAACTAACTGGGGAAGACTCTCAAGAGGTGTAGCCTTCTGGGAGGAACTAGACTTTGAGAGCTCAAAGGCTCTATTTCTAGTTTGCCCTTTCTGCTTCCTTCTTGTGGTTTAAGATGTGCGTCTCCAGCTGCTGCTCTGCCAGTTGCTCTTACGATGGAGCTGTAAGACAAATAAACCCTGCTGTAAGCAGCCTCCATCATGGCGTTTTATCGTACCATAGAAAGCAAACTAATAGACTGCATGACCCAAAAGAATTGAGAACAGAGACTTGAAGAGCTATTTTGTACACTTACATCCATGGTCATACATAGCAACACTGTTTCCAACGGCCAAAGACCAATGGGTGCACGAGTTGCACAACAAACTATCATCCAGCGGGAGGCTGTCCTACACACACACACACACACACACACACACACACACACACACACACACACACACACGGCAGCAGGTGTGCCCGGGAACCTTTGTGCCTGGCTGCTTTCACCAGCAGTGTTCCCTTGTTCACTGGGCTCATCCAGGAGACCAGAGGGCCCTGGGAGAGACGAGGTTGTTGTCAAGGGGCCCACTCTGTACATGGAACATTCAGGCTGTGTCCATCTGTGGAATGCATATATCAAGTGGGGTAGGGGGTGGGTTGCAGTGGGAGGGAGCAGGGAGACAGAGAACCCACTGGAAGCCAGCACTCCTGGAAATATCTCAGGTTAAGGCAGATCTACCACTGTATTCCAGAAAGCCATAGAAACATGTGCCATGTGCCGTGGTTTTTTGAGACAGGCTTTCTCTGTATTGTTTTGGAGGCTGTCCTGGAACTCACTCTGTAGACCAGGCTGGTCTCAAACTCACAGAGATCCGGCTGCCTCTGCCTCCCGAGTGCTGAGATTAAAGGCGTGCGCCACCACTGCTCAGCCCCTCTTTGTATTTTCACAAACCCCCAGATGCTGGTGAGTATCCTTGCTTCCTGAGAGGATTCGAGAACTCCTTCTGGTTTGGTTTTCCCCTACACAGCTTTGCTTCGGAGAATTTTCTCCAAAATCTTTTGCCACTGAGGTTTTTCTTCCCTCCGAGCCCCGAGGCTGAAAGCTGCCCTTGTGGGCACACTACGTGCTGCTCTGACTGCAGTAGTCTTGAAGGGGTTCCAGCAGCAGCAAGCCTTCTGGGAAAGGACCTCCATGGCAGCACTCTGGGACTCCCTGGTGGAGGAACAGAGGCCTGGATGCTGTGTTCTGGCGAGAGGCCATGGTTGCCAGGGCTTGACGACCTTGGGAAGGTCACGTCTCTGCTAAGGCCTATCTGATATTTCTAAGCTGCAGCTGCCCTCAGACATGGGAAAGAAAGGGTTCTCCCTAGAGGGGGGCCGCTTAGACCTGGCCACTGAGAGTGAGGGTGCATTGGGCAGGTGCACTGGGGAAGCCCAGCAGGGACGACCCGGAAAGGCTGTGCTTGGGTGGGAGCCACAGGAACTTTCCTTGCCCGTCTCTTTCCACGCGGTGATGAGCGCTGGGCGGGAAGCGAGGAGGAGGGATGGCTTGAGGTGTGTGCCCCAGTGCGCTCACCGTCTCAGTGAGAAGCGAGACACGCAGGTGACAGACATATCCGGACTACCTGCCTGCCCAGGCCACCTCCACCTGCCTTAGTGGGAATTCTATGCTCAGGGCTTCCTGAGCTCCATGTTGGCCCTGTCTCAGGCAGACAAGTCCTAGCATTTGCCTTTCCTCCCTTTCTGTCAGTGTTGCACTGGGAATATTCTATAGCCAGCTGCCTTATCAAACAAGGAACCCCCAGTGGTGTAGCAGAGACCAGAGGCCTCGGACCAGACCAGTGACTCACAGTGATGAGCATTTACAAGTAAAGATGCGTGGACTGAAGGGACTCAAAGTGGGGTGCGGTCGTGGAGACTCAAAGCCCACCCCAGGATATACTTCCTCCAGCCAGGCTGCACCCACGGAAGGTTACATAATCCCCCACACAGAGCCACCCACTGAGCACCAGGTGTCCATAACCCTGAGCCTGTGGGACACATTCCCACTTCACTATGGTTGTTTTTAACGTTTCTGTCCCTGTAAACCAACAAAGACGTACCTTTTATAACGAGAAAAACGAAACTACCCAAACTACCTTGTGCGGTGGAGTTTGCGGCTGGAAGTTTCATCATGATGACTCAAAGGAAGGCTGCTGTGCTGCCATCAGAGCCAGTTAGCAAGGGTTCCCGAAGATGGCCCCAGGGTTTGAAGAAAAGTTGTGTTGCAGAAGGTACAGATCGGTGGCCATTCCAGGGAAGAACGTTTAGATCAATTAAGATAAAGCCATGGCGTCGATGAGAGCCATCACGTGGAGATGATGTTTCTCACAGCGGTTAGAATAAGGAAGGGGCTTGGTCTGGGGCACTCGCCTATGGTCTGGCAACCTAGAATATCACTGAAGCCCCTTCCGATCCTATACTATAAAGGGACAGGAACAGACAGTCCTAGGCACAGAGAGTGATTAGTCAAATGAATTACTGGCTTATCAACTTTGATAGCTTTGATTGACAGTCTGGGCCCTAGGGTCAGAAGGTCCTGGCTGTGGGTTCTGTCATCTCTCAGCTGTTGTCCTTGGGACACCCAGTACCTGAGGACTGGCCTTCCATCATCCATCAGGCGGTCATGATGGCCACTCAGGCTAGTTCCTAGATTCCTGGGGCTTGTGGAAGCAAAGAACATTCGGTTCTTAGGGGAAGCCCTATGGATCATTGTCTAGACCACATACCTCTCCATACACTCCAGGACAAAGTGTCTTGGACTTGGAATGAGCTCATGGCCATACTGGAAGTTTTGACCACTGTTTGGTTAAGTGAGAAGAATGGCTTACAGGTAAACATGGAGTGTGTGTGTGTGCATGTGTGCGTGTGTGTGTGTGTGTGTGCGCGCGCGTGTGTGCGTGCGTGCGTGTGTGCATGTGTGTGTTTGGGTGGAGCATTAAGGTTGATGGAAAGCATACAGGTGATGGTGACAGTGTGGCTCTTGCCTCAGGAATGGATTAGATGCTGGAGGCGACAGTCAGGGTCTGAATATGTGTTGTGGTGGCCCAGAAAATGCAAGAACTTTCTGGTACTGAAATTTTCTGGGAACGCTCCCTTTGGCTTCCTGAGGCTGAGCAGGCCGCTTGGGAAGAGGAGTTGCTGGACAGAGATTGAAAGAGCACTAGGAGGCTGGGTTGGGGAGGGCCATCTGGCCTCTACCCGGGATCTGTGTCTAGCATGCCAATGAAGATGCCCACCAGGATCTTTTCTAGTTTCTGTAGATGGGCCAAGGGAAGGGCAGATGTGACCTTGGGAGGGAGGACAGGGCAGACACCCAGGGTGGTGTGAGAGAAGGAGACACAGCATCAGTATGTCTGGTCCCTGGGGATGGACATCATGCTCCTTGGACACACTCTCCTGCTAGCTGCCTCAGGAATGGCCTCACGGGCCCTGTGTGAGCCCTTCACTGGCTGCTTGCTTTTTCTCGGGTCCTGTGTTTGCTTGGACCCGCAGCCCCCAACTCTCAGTCTGTCTCTCACTCCCCTCAGACTGGGGTTGACTCAGCGGCTCTTCCTTGAGGATTTTCTGTCTCGTGCTACTCAGCTCAAGTCTCACTTCCTCAGCACCCCTGAACTGCACATCCCTCCCCTGTTCTCCTGCCAGCATATAAAGCACTACCACCCATGATAACACTGCAGTGTCCCCGAGGACAGCTGTGGTCTTTACCTGTTTATGCCGGTGTGAACTCTCTGAGGCTGTCACAACTGGCGCCCTTCATTTTAAGGGTAGGGATTCTGAGGTTTGTCTAGGATACCCAGAATGCCCCTACCATGGCCTATTTCCAGATTCTTTCCCTCCGTGACCTATCTCTCCATCTAAGTGAGTCCCCAGAGTGGAGTTGTGTTTGAGGTGCTCTGCACGCCCAGCAGTGAGCCATGTTTACTGTGCCTGCTGTAGGAATGGGGGCTGCATGAAGCTCCCGCCTGCCTGTTGGGCTTCTTGGCTGGGAGGGTGGGGGGTCTGCTAAGGTGAAGGGGAGTCTGAGTTGAGCCCTGGTGGGGGCAGACCATCCATTTCACTTTTCTCTTTTCCCTGCCAGGGAGCTCAACGGCAACAATATCACTCGGATCCACAAGAATGACTTTGCTGGGCTCAAGCAGCTTCGAGTGCTGTGAGTATGGGCTGCTGTTCCCCTCACGGTCTGCATCTACCCTAACCCCCAGCCTTGGGTCTCTAGATGGAGGTCTTGATCGGAGTTTGAGAGTCACAAGCTAGCCCGGGCCTTCTATTGTGGAGTCAGGAGCCTCCTGAGTGGGTGGAGGGGGTGACACTGAGTGTCCTGACCCAGAGAGGCTACTGCCTCCCACAGGGCTAAAAAGAAAGGATGGGGCAGTCATGGCCATTCCTGCCTCTGGGGCTGAGGGAAGAGCAGGTGTCACGGAGAGTCTACAGGTCTCTGCTAGTTCAGCCTGCTCTGGTGGAAAACCATGGGTGGGACCTAAACCACAGAGAGGCCTTGCTCAGGTTCTGAAGACTGAGGTTCTGGATCAATCCCGATCTGTTCGCTGGGGCCTCACATGGCCTGGCTCCTCGAGCACACAGAGAGGACTCACTAATCCCTGGGCATCAGGCCCACCCAGATTACCACATCACTTTACACTGTCCCTAACAGCTCTGCTTCCAGACACGTCGTGGGGGCACTAGATTCAACACATCAGCTGGAGGGCGTGGCGAGCACAGTGCCCCAGATGGGGGGGTGGAGAACGCAGTGCGGCCCACCACCTCCAGTGTTCTGCCTCAGACAGGCTCCGCAGATCCTCAGCGAGGCTGCAGGCCCTGTCAAGAGGGTGATGGGGGGACAGAAGAAGAAAGACGTGCCTTTACTCAGGTGTCTGAGAGTGGAGATCCTGGAAACGGCAGGCACAGCCCCGTTAAGCAGTGGGCCATCCGGGCCATCCATAGTGCCTGCCAGACAGGTCAGGGAAGAGGGCTGGTGTTGGCCCTCCGTCCCTCTGCTTCGCTGGTCTCGGGTAGCAGAGGTGGATAGCCGTGGCACACAGGCATCTGACTTTACCACCTCAGTTAGATTCGGAGGCCCTGCCCCATCATCACATGTGCAGAGTCCCTCACCTCCCACTCGGGATAGTACCAGGGTTCAGGGGTGTACACTTCACAGTTCTGGGGGTCCTTAGGGCGAGTGGGGGGCCTTGTGGATAATCCACTTTGAGGTTGGGGGTGATGAGTCACTAGAGTCTTTGCTGCTCCAGAACTGACCCACACTGACCAAAACTTTCCTCTTCCCATTCTGGGGAGTCCTCTCTTCCTGAAACTCCTCCTACAGGCCTCCAGCAGAGAGAAAAATATAGTGCCCTGCCCCAAACCCTGCCGGAAGCCCATTCAGGAGCATGCAACCCATCTGCTTGGGAGAGGAGAGGGGAGAACACAGGAGAAAAAGTACTGCCGTATCTCCAAAATGATCGCACAGCATCCCATCTCTCAGTGACAAATGCTGCCCACCAGTCAGATGCTCCGAAACAGAGCATGTTGGTGGGGGAGATGCACAATCTCATGGAGCCAGGTGGTTGGTTGGCCTGGGCACCCATTCCTTTCTTCAGCAGATGGGCCTAGGCGGAATAGGGTGCAGACAGCGGGGGCGTTGTCTGGCAACTGTAGCATTCTTGCTTATGTGTGTGGACTCTGCCCAGTTGATATGACTTTCCTCTGCCATGCTAGCCATGTCTCTTGGATGCATGCTCTGGACCAAAGGACCACATGCACCCCAGAAACCTAGCACCTTCTTCTAGCATAGTTGTGATCATTGGCACTGTGCCATTGCTCTGCCAGGCAATGCTTGCTGTGGAACCTGAGTTGGGGAACTTGGATCTATACAGGGCCTGGAAAGGCTCTGGTCCCCCTTATGAGCCCACATTGCTCTGGCAAAGCTAATTGGAGTTCCTAGGAACCCTTGTTTAGCATCCTGTCTGTTCTGTCTCTTTGCCTCTCAGGCAGCTGATGGAGAACCAGATCGGCGCTGTGGAACGCGGAGCTTTTGATGACATGAAGGAGTTGGAGCGCCTGTGAGTACAGGGTGTGGCTGGGGGGATTGCTGGGGTTGCCAGAGCGGGTGTCAGCAGGCCTACAGTAAGGCCTGAGGTGGAAGGGTCTCAGCCTCACCCCACCTGATAGTGCATTGTGAGATGCTAATTGGAGAAAAATGGAAACGAATCTCCATTCCCATCCACAGTGCAGCCCTGCTGCTAGTCCCAGAACACATGATGGCAAAAATTTGCACAGCTGGAATTCCTTCCGCCCATCTTTCCTAAGGTGTGGCTGCCATTCTTGATTGTGGGTTCGTAAAGGAAGTCACTGGTGTGCTGAGCAGAACTACCAGGGAAGTCTCCAGACCTGAGGCTTGCTGTCTTAGGAACAGGACCACAGCACGGCAGTGAGGAAGCAAAGGCACTCTCAGAGTTTGCATGACTTGTTCCTGAGTGGGGCTTTCAGTTTTGAAACTGGGCCTTGGTAACCTTTCTGCATTCACACTGGTGACGAGGAAAAAGAAAAGGACTTGGCGGGTGAAGATGGGGAGGGCACTCACCTCCCTATGGTGGTCAACCAAATGGCAGATGTTGGCTGGGGTAGGGCCAAAGTTCATGTTCTTTGACCAGAAAGTTCATTTTGTATTAAGAAACTGACCAGAAAAATTGTTGGACATTCATAATTCTGGATATTCTTCGCAAATTACCAAAAATTAGAAATAGCCATTTGGGTGGAGATAAGATACAATCGAGACTGAAATGGCGTCATCACCCCTGGGGTGTGATCACAGTGGGGTAGAAAATGCAGGGAGTGATGTCTGTATAAATAAAATCAGAGGGAGAGAGACCAGGCAGAGACAGAGAGAGAGTGGAGTAGAGGAGAAAACCGAGAGAGGGGGTGGGGCTTCTTCAGTTTTGTTCTCTGTGATGCCTCCTCTTTCTCCCTTGATTGGCTCACAATGAATTTCTATGGCAATTACAGTTAATACTGAGTGCCTTCCGCTGCCCTTGGCCCAGGAGCATGTCATCTAACCCGAGGTAAAGCTCCTCCTGCAAGTGGCATTCCACAGATGAGAGACCAAGGTGCCTAGAGGCTGTGCCGCATGTGCAGAAGAGGGGATTAGAACCAGATTGCTTTGCCTTCAAAGCTGAGGCTCTTAATGAGTAGGACCTAATTAATCTCTCTCCTTTCATTTTTATGTCAAAGAAAACACAGCATTAAACAAAGAAAAGGGCATGTTTGTCCCATTGTCTTCTTGCAGCCCAGAAGACCCCCCCCCCGTCCCATTCCAGCCTTAAACTGAGCAGTCAGCCATCCAGTGCTAAGCCAGATGTTCCCTCCTATGTTTGCTTTCTTTAAAACAGTAAAATCCCAGGCTCTGAGGGCCTGGCTTGGATCTAGTCTATTCCATTCCACCTGCGGTGCTGCCTGGCCTCGGAGGAGCTGGGAAGGCGGGAGGGGGGGTCTGGGCTTGACAAGGCATGGCCCTGCTGCTGCCACTCGATGTTGGCAGAGTCTTCCTCTCAGTCACGACTTGTCACTGCAGAGCTTGTCCCTCCTGTCCATTTTCAGCGCTGTTTCTCTGGTCTGGGCCACCGACAGCAGGCAGCTATTCTACCCCTGGGGTGTCAGGTATGCACCGTGTACCCCTTCTGTGAGCAGCCAGTGCAGTGGCCATCTGCTCTGATTTGTGGGGGACCACGGGGATTGGTTTGTGAAAGCTGGTGGAAGTCGGGAGCCAGAATAAAAACACCCAGACTGTGAACATAGCGTTTTCAATTAAAATGGAAATGTGCATTTATTGGCTCCTTTCCCAGCGACACCTCCCCCCCCCCCCGAAGAATTTCTCTATTCCTTCTAGTATGAGACAGTGACTGGGGATCTGTATGGCTTTATTCACCCAAACACAAACGGTGTGCTTTTTTATTTTGGTGGGAGGGGGTTGGATTTCTTGAAGGTAGAATGAGATTTTTTTTTCAGCACCCTGGAAGCAATTTGGGTTGAGAATTAAATCTTTTCACCGAATTCAACCACCCTTCAATTGGCAGCTTTCCTTCCCTTTTTTTTCTTCCCTAAGATCTTTCCAAAGCAGCCAATGTAATTTTCATATAGATGACTCTCGCCCCCATGACATTTCATTTATTTGTGAATGAAATTGAATCACATAATCCTACTTCTAAGTACCTGTGGCATATACAACTGTGAGAGCAGACACAGCTGGTTCTCACAAACGGTTCGGAAAAGTGTGTGCAGAAGCCGGAGTGCGAGGCCCGGGAAGTCATGGGTCTGAGCCTTGGCCTGGGCTGGCTGGTTGCATAGAGGTCATGGAGCATGCTTAGTTGCATAGAGGTCATGGAGCATGCTTAGTTGCCTGGGAAGTCAACTATGAGGAAGTGAGGCGGAACGGGAGCTGCAAAAATGCAAGCTTCAGAAGCCTGCATCAGCCCAAAGGGTGCTTGGGTAATTCACTTGCCTCTTGGCATCAAAATTCCCTTAGCTTTCAAGAACTCAACTCAGTGACGCCTGCAAGCTGATTTTGGGCACTGGTAAGAGCCAAGTTGTGCGGCAAGATGGTGGCATTGAGCATTTACTTCTGGGGTTGCTGCAAGGAGGAAGGCTTGTACTTGAGTGACAGCATCATTGTCACACGGGAGGAGGAAGCCCACCCTTCCCTCTGCTTTTGTGCTATGAGGTGATGTCTAGGAGTGTCTGTCTTGGTGTCAGGAGTTCCAAAAGGCTAAGTGACAGGCAGCCCTCCTCAGCTGCTGCTTTCATTCTGAGGTACCCGTATGTTTCTTACTATAGTGGCTCATGCCTGTAGCGTCCTTTGATTTTCCACTTTATATTAGACATCGAATTTCCCTCCCCTCCCTTCCCTTCCCCCTTCTGAATGTTTTCACAAATTGCAGCCAGAAAAATGAGAAAGTCTTGGGAGGAAAACAAAACAAAACTAAACCTAGCAATTACCAGGCAGTGTAAATACTGGATTAATTTATTGGACTAGGGATAAGGGACGGGGGAGATCCGATGTCTGCTCTTGTTGCTTTAAGGCTTGCATTGGTAGTCCCCTTTCTTCCAAGCCAATGATGTGTTTCCCTAGGAACCTGCCCTTTAAAGTCAGCTTCTTCCAATTGGTCTCCTAAAGCTGTAAATCCGATGTCTGTCCTGTGCTGGGACATGGAGGTCCCTAGTGTGGTGACAGTGGACTTTCTCACACATCAGATGAAAGGCGACCTCAGAGGAGGTAACCATGGATGAGTTCCTGAGGGCTGCAGAGTCAGTCTCTTCCTGTCCATCCAGAAGATTTCTTTTTGCCGAGCAGGCTCATGGCAGTTAGTGAGAGAAGCACTTGGGGACCTCTGTGTGACACGCTGTGCTGATGCCTTGCTGGAGACTGTGTTGCAAGTCTCTCACCTTTTTTTTTAATATTTATACTATCATCTGCTATAGTTTCTCAACAATTAGACAGTGTCCTTTGCTGCATTCTAGACTCCTGTGTTAAGAAACTAACTGTGTAAGTTTGGACAGCAAGTCTTCCCACGGCTGGTCTGGGTCCTTTGGTGCTCTGTCTTCCTATCAGGCAGATTCCAGACCCAGACTTCTGGCTCCTGCCTGTGTCTGCAGTGACACTCCCATCTGCCCTCAGAACAACAGATCTTGACCTATGGGTCCTGACCCCTTAGGGGGTTGAACTACCCTTTCACAGGGGTTGAATATCAGATATCCTACTTATCAGATACTTACATTATGATTCATAGGAGTAGCAAAATTACAGTTAGGAAGTAGTAAGAAAATAATTTTATGTTTGGGGGTCACCACAGAATGAGGAACTGGATTAAAGGGTAGAAGCCTTAGGAAGGTTGAGAACCACTGATATAGAATATCAGAATATTGAAAACTATGAAAGCACTTCCTTAGGCATCAAAAATTAAAGCATGGCTGGGGTACAGCTCAGTGTTCCAGAACTTTTCTTACATACATGAGGCCTGGGTTTACCCCTCAGCACTGAAATAAAATTACTGCTGTTTGGCAAGGAAAAAAAAAGTCAAGTAAAGGCCACACTGGTGTTTGAGTGTCTCTCTTCCTGTAATTTGAGGCTTTTTTTTCTATTTTGATTTTTTTTTGTTTTTTTGAGACAGGTTGTTCCTTTACTCGACAGACCTTGAACTCACAGAGATCCCCTTGCCTCTGTCTCCCGAGTGCTGGGATTAAAGGCATGCGCCACCAACGCCTGGCTCTATTTTGATTTTTAAAATACATTTATTTGCTGTTTTGAGACAGAGTCTCTCTGTGTAGCCATGGCTGGCTTCGCACTCACAAAGATTTATCTGCTTCTGCCTCTGGAGTGTTGGGATTAAAGTTGTGTGACACCATGCCCTGCACCTGAGCTTTTGATTTTTTTAAAAAGCTAACATTCCCCCCTATCTAATTTCCTGATTTTTTGAGATAATGGTCTCAGTCTGTCCCAGGTTGTTCTGAAACTCATTATGTAGCCTCGTCCTCAAGCTCGTGGTGATCCTCCTGCTTCAGCATCCCAAGTGCTGGGGTTAGAGGTGTGCACTTCCGTGCTCACTGAAAGCATTAATTTTCATTAATAATAATAATAAATGATGTTATTTTAATTTTGAAAAAAAATGAACCAGAGCAGACAGTAAAACAAAACAAAACAAAACAAAGCAAAAGCCCAACAAATCAGCCAAACAGAAACCAACGCTGCCTAGGCAAGTATGGAGAAAACACTAAGTTCTGTGATGTTTAGCCACCCTACCCCATTAGGACTTGTTGCACATTTCATAAGGTCAAGGATCCAACTCACGGTTGGGTTTATCTGGGGATCAGAGCTTGGTGGCTCAGGAAGGGGACAAGCAAAGAAGGAGGGTCACTCTTGCTGTTTAGTTGAGGGCTTAGTATGGCCGAGTGACCACTCACAGATGAGCTGTACCCTAGAGAAGACCCTTGGGGGCTGTGTTCTGGTCCTACTGGGGCTAGATCCAGGTTCTTATGACTTGGAATGCAGGGCTCTCTGAGTCTTTGGCCATCTCCTGAACACGTGGGTGACTCTCACCTCTCCTGTTACCTTTTCCAGACGACTGAACCGAAACCAGCTGCACGTGTTGCCTGAACTACTGTTCCAGAACAACCAAGCTCTATCCCGACTGTGAGTTACACATGCGGGTTGCTACCTACGCTGTGGGGGGTGTGGGATGGAGTTAGTGGCCTGACCTTGGGCTCATGCTTCCTGCTGGCAGGGAAGGCTCGGGCATCGAAGGCCAGACCTTTCTATAGGAAATCTGTGGGATACGTCTCCAGGCAAGAGTGTGAAAGAGTCCCTGTTATCCCAGCTGCATGTGCTGGGGCTGGTGGCAGGGTGTTCTAGGGGTGGGCGTGGCCCTAACTGTGCCCACAGTCTGCTGTGGACACTCTTACACCCTTGTCACTGCCTTGTGTGCCTGTCTTGGGTTGAATATTGATTCAGTCCACTAAGCCCCTCTTCATGGAATGGGAGGCAGTCTGGGAAACAGTACACCAAAGGCCAGACGGTCCTGGGTTTCTCAGTGTGGCTTGCTGGGAGCCAGCATTTCTTCCTGAGCTCTGTAAGCTTCCAGCTGAGCTGGGGTGTGTACCCATGCTTGTGGGTGGCCTGCCACGAATGTCTGTTGTATTCCTCATAATGCAGGTTCCCCTGCAAGGTTCTGGCGCCTGGCACATGTGACTGTGAGATGTCTCAAAACTTTGCTGCTGTAGAGACGAGGTTGGAGAGGCAAAGTGATATCTTTAGAGTGGATGTGAAGCCCAGCACGCTGCGTGTTTCATATTTCATTAGGAATTTTGGGGCAAAGGTCTTCCACACGTTAACAAGTATTAAGTAACCAGACTTCATAACTAAACAGGCATATGGAAATCCACTCAAGGAGGGAGGAGCCGAAGAGGAGGACACCTGCTCTTGGCACTCTCCCTGGCTGGGAACCAGGGAGGCAGAGGCCTCAAGGTCTTGTGTATGTGGGTTATTTCCAAGCTCTACCGAGAGGACATCTGAATGCTCCGTGCCTGGCCTTGCAGGCATTGGCTTCCTTGCACTTGGCAGGAGGACATGTTTTTCATGTAGCGTCATAGCTGGCCCTGGGTGAAGGGAGACCTTTTCAGCTGCTGTCTTGCACTTGGTGCTGGAGGCAGAACCCAGGGTTCCGTCTAGAGTGTGCTGAGTACACACTCTGTGACGAAGCCCTACCACAGCCTCTTCATGTTTCTGAACCTCCCCCGGTGTACAAGCCAGTAGGACTCGGCAGAGAATGCCTATGTAACATGTTCCACCGACGTAAGCCAGAGACGTGAAATCATGACGGAGGCCTGTGCATCCTGTGCCCATCCGGCATGTGCCATCTTGAAAAAGGCACCATCTGTAGGAGGCTGCTAAGCACAGTTTGGTTGATCGAGCCTTTACTCCTGCTGTCTGGGCTCACCCACTGTGGAGGCGGCTGTGGGCACAGACACGGGAGTGTTTAAAGGTATGTTTGCTGCTACGCTTTGCTTCATCTCCACCTGTTCTGTTGACCTGAACATCTGCCTTCCACAACGTCCCTGCTGAGTTCTCCAGTTGTTCTGGCCAGAGAGCTCTCAGGCATGCTACCCTGAGGACTGGTGGGGTGAAGGTGTGCTGGGTATTGTAGGTCATGAGTACCAAGTTCCCAGGTTCCCCAGGACAAGGACTAAGGTACACCTATCTGTCACAGCAACTGAGATGTCAGGATGTTTCTAGTTCTTTCTGGGTATACCGCTTGTTGTCTTGCTTCTCCCTGTACCACCATCCAGGCCCCTTGGCAACAGTGACGTCACTGCACTGACATTTGCATTAGCTGCAGTGTTGGCCCTCCTCCTGCTTCTTGTAACCACATAGATGTGATCTCTGTAGGGTCTTGGGTCCTCACTCTAGAGTCTTGGGAATAGAAATCTGATGAGCCCATTTTAGGCCAGATGATGGCTGGGGCTTGTGGGATCAGCTGGCGCAGTGGTAACTCTGGAGCTGCCTCCTTGGCTACAGGACTGCGGTATTCCTTAAGAAGGCCTGCCTAGACCAGCGCCTTGTTGCTGGTCCCTCCGTTGACTTTCCCTTTGCTTTGGAGGGATCTGTGATTAAGCCTCTCCATCTGGAGGAAATTAAAGACTTTCACGCACCTGCTTTGCTAAGCATCGTGGCAGTGGACTCTGGAGACCACATGTGCTGGGGAGGTGTGGCCAGGATGTGCAGGTGGTGTAGTCTGTGGTTCGGATGATCTTGTCTGCAGCTTCCAGAAGTTAAATCCATTTACTGTTTGTTCTACACTGGCAGTCCTATTCCTTCCAAATGCATAATGGATGTCCTGAAGAGGGGCTTTGTCTTGGATCACAGAACAGTTGGATGTAAGGGCTGGAATTAGGCACTGGGACTCTGAAGGTCCATTAATGAGCCCCAAAAATGGGCTTAGACCAGGACCTGGAAATCTCACCATTGGGGATTCACTCTGAGGAGATAAAACCCCAGCATAAGTATGCACACTGCAGCGATATTTAGACTATTGAACAGAACATGGAAATAACCTTAATGTCCCACATCAGGGAAGTGGTTAGGCAAATTCCAGCATATCTGCTTGATGGAATACTTAAGCAGTCATCAGAAATGGCCTTCATGGGAGATGTCAAATAATGCATATGTTTGTGATATCAAAAACCAGAGTTGTATTGATCCCTGAATTACTCTAAATAATGCATGGAAAATGACTGCAGAATTCTAGCAGGGATTGACTGTGGGTAATTTTTTTCTTTTGTGTTTCCCAGACATTCTTTAAAAAGGACGTATTATATTTATGGCAGGGCACTTGCCAGTTTTGAACAGTACTGAAAGCCCCTGTGTCTGAGTTAAAGCTAATGCTGGTGGGCTGGAGAGGCAGTGCCGCGGTAGAAGGCTTGCCTAGCCCCGGAGAAGGCCCTAGGTTCCAGGCCCAGCGCCATAAAGCTCCACACAAACAACCAGTGCCAGACGTGATGTGGCTTCCGTTAGCCCTGTGGAGCCAGCTGCTCTTTTGTGGGACCATAATAATGTCTGCCTCCCAGGGCTGTTGTGAGGCTGAAGAGAGATGAAAAACTCTTGTGTCTTGGCATTAACACTGTGGCGCGTGGCAGGTGTCGGGAAATATGGGCATCCATGCTGGCATTGTTCTGGAAGGGAAAACCTGGCTCCCACACTTCCAGCCTCGGAGTGGCCGACCACACATCAGTATCGGCTTCTCTCTTCTCTCCGGAGCCCCAGCCCGGTGGAGAGTTCTTATCCTTAGCCCAGAATTGTCCCTTTACCATGCGGAGACCTGTCCTCAGCTTCTGTTTCCCTCAGCTAATTTTTTTTTTAAAGAAGGCCTCAGGTACCTGTGCGGAATGACCCAGAAAGGCTATGGAGGGAGGCTGGTCTGCCAGCCAGCAGAGGGCTGGAGTTTGGCTTGGAACAGTCCTGTTGGTCACATTCTCGAACAGCAGAGGGGAAACCAGCAGAGAGCAAGTAGGCGATAGGGCTCGTGTCTCAGCTCTAAGCCTTTATTCTCTGACTGGCGGCGGAGTGTCTGCAGCTCCTTCTCAGCGCTCCTCTCCTCTTTATTTTATTATTATTCTGCGTGTGTATGTGTGTGGCTTGTATGCACGTGTGCTCATGAGTTGGGTGCACATCTGTGTGTGGGGACATGTGCATAAGTGTGCACATGGGTGTGGAGGCCAGAAGTCACTGCTGATCATCTTCTTCATTATTTTTCTGTTGCTGAGCCTGGAGCTCATCGGTTGGCTTTGGCTAGTCTAGCTAGCCAGCTTACTCTGGGGATCTCCTGTCTGCCTCCGCAGGGTTTCTAGGTGGGCTACCACACCTGTCCAGCATTTACATAGGCGCCGGGGATCTGAACCTCTGTCCTCTTGATTGCATGGCAAGTTCTTTACTTGCTGAGTCATCCCCACAGCTCCCAAGCTTCCCTGCAGAAGAAAGCCCTCACCTTGTCGTGTGAACTAGTCTCTGCAGAAGTGAGTCTGCAACCTTTTACCATTCCCGTCTTCTAGAGAGGACAAGAAGGGTTTCAGGAACTGTGGCCATGATAGCAATGAGTGAGAACGGAAGGCCACTCAGTGCTGGGCCGTGCTGGCACAGCCTAGCAATGCAATCCGATTCCAGTCGTGGAATGTCCATGTGAGATCAGGATGCTCCCCTTTCTAGGTGAAAGTATGCAAGGTCAGAGGGTTTGTGACATGTCCTAGGGCTGAGTCAAATTTGAATTTGCTCTGTCTATAGCTAAAGCTTATGTTATTACATCCAGCTAGTAGCACCTGGCATTTATCTACAGCAGCCATCTACATGGGCCCTCCTAGATGCCCTCTGTCCCCCAGACCCTCACTATCCTTGACCCCATCTCTTCCTCCATATATTCCCATTCATTTATTCATTCCGAAGGTCTTTGTGGGCCTCCTGCAGGCTTGCAGGGTTGGTCAAACTTGGATAGGTAGCCATGTGGCTCTAACCGCATGTCTGCCTGTCCAGGAGGTGATAGTCTACCATAGGTGCTCTCTGGTAGCTAGCTGGCTCTCAGACTTCAGCAGGCAGGAAGAAGAGAGGGTAGGCACCAGCTGCTGCACCTGAGTCTCCTGTGGCAGCAAGTTACCTGGGTGTGTGACCAACTTCCTCTTTCCACTCAATCCTCAGAGGATGTAGAAATGTCATCTTCATGGACTTTCACAGGGTCCCCGTTTGGGGCTAGCGGAACGTGTTTGAGTTCTGATAACTTCTCTAGAGCGACCAATCCCAGTCGTCACTCGGCTTGTGTGCTTGCTCACCCTAGCCTCTGTCCCCAGGTAGGACAGACACGATGCCTTGTCTGGATGGCTGCATCCTTCACTCATCTACAAAGTGCTCGGTCCTCTGGGCTTTCGCTTAGCCTGGAAGCCCGTATGCATCAAGACCAGATCAACTTCTGGGTCTCTGTAGGTTTGGGAGGGGCAGGCAGTTACTGCGGCAGCCCAGGGCATCTGCTTCCCACGTGTATATATCCCTGTCACAAGGACCATGGCGACTCATTAACAAGGCCCTGGTGATAGCAGCCAGGCTGTGAGCCTGCGCAGCCCTGTGGAAGAATGCCTGACCCTCATGACCCCATC